AGCTGTCACGAAAGTCACGAAGCTTGTGCACGAAAAAAAAAAACACTGAAGTTGTTTACAACAGGTCCTAAATGCAACCAAGTGGTATTTGTGGTGAAGCATAACCGAGATAAAGTAACGGTTTTGGATAATTACACCTGTATGACTGCGATTTTGAGCAGCTCCAAAGCAGTCAACTCTGTGGCAGACTATTTGGGAGCTCCAACAAGGAATGACATGTCAAACCTTCCTCCTCGAATTAAGTGGATCCTCCTCCAAAATGTACAGCGCTCAAGGATCTCGAAGTTCCAGTACACATTTAATCCCTGCTGATTTTGTGGAAGACGTGAATGATTGCCTGCCTCCCCTGAGGGTAAGTAGTTTAGCGCATTGTTGAAAACACACACAATACAACAATCGCAGCACAATTTGGACGATAACTCCACAGATCCCTCAGATGAAAATAAGTTTGCATGAAACAACCCTTTTTATCGCCTTAAAACAGAAAACATGTCATGACTTTGCCCGCCCTGAAAGCCAGCTTAAATGTGACGATAAATTGCGCTGTCCAGTAATCGGTGGTGGTAATTGTCACAGTGAATCCATTGGGAGGAGAGAGTCCGCCACACAAAAACATCGTAAACCGCTGATTGCCAGCTGACCGACTGATCGGTCATGCAAAACAGCCTTTATGGCATTGCACAAGACTATGCTTTGCACCCGTTGTTTACTTATTGAAGACCAAACTGGTTGCAGATGCGGTCAACTTATCCATTCACTTGGTGTGGTACAAGTTGGCTGCTCCTTTTCGCATAAGAACTGACAGAAGGAGGAGTGCTTTTTCCTCAATACTCAACAATCGAAGGCAGAAGGTGGAGAGATGGAAGGGAGGTAGGAAAGGAGATAAGTGGTAATGATGTAGGAAGCACGATAAATTTGTCCAGTTGAAGTGTTATGCAATAGTGACGATTTTGACAAGCAATTGTTACCACTTTTATGGTGACGATCACAGGCATTTGGTTACCCTAAATAACTCTACCAATTATTAGAAGCCGTAGCAAGTTGACAAATTCAGGTAGATGTGTGCACGCAAGCGTATGCAAAAGGCAATGACCTGTGAAATACAAAAACAGCCCAACCAACGGACAGAATGAGATGTGTCAAAAGTGGCACAAGGATGCAGTGCATTCCAAAATGACACGTGGCTGAAGGTGAACGATGGTACCGAGTGGACCTACTTGACGTCTAACAAACACCTCTTGGCAAGAAGTTAGTTAAAGGAGCTACCACAACAAATGCCAAATGAGAATGAAAACAAAAAGGCTTTAGCAGCTTGGCTGGTTATCCTGCATTACGAGGACATTAGTCCGGATGACCACAGACCGAGGTCACGTAAATGAGATGCATGGCCATTACCGTCCTGTTTACTGCCGACCGTAAGCTACCTTGTTGCAGACTAATTTTCTGGCCAAGATCACAGCCCAATGAGACCTTCAGATAGGTACAGCATCAAATCTCTAAGACTTGATTCCCCCTTACAAGTAAATGTACGTCCTAAAGTGTTAACTAAATCTCCTGCGTAAACGCTCATGATATGAAAGGGAATAGGAAG